TATCACAGTTTAGAAGCTAGTAAAAGTTAGGGACCCTTTCCCTAGAAAAAAGGCCAATATCGCATACCCAATTTTTAAAATATTTCAGGATGGAAGCCCCTGTTCTGATAGATAAAATGTAGAAAAGGAAGTACCACAACATGAGAATTGTAGAAACTATGTGGCGGGCACATGGGGTTCAAGTCCTCTAACTTTTCTGTATGTTTAAAATTTTTCCTAATAAAATGTCGGGAGGAAAAAAAACAAACCCTGTTTTTAAAAAGGGTAAATAATGCCAAGTTCTAAAAGTATAACTTTATGTTATAAGCCCAGGTCTATTCTCACCACTTTTCAATTCATAATAAAACTAATTTCCTACTCTGGAGAGTGGGACAATATGGATACTTCATGGGAAGACATCCCCACCTTGTGAGCTTTTAGAATATTATGACTCACATGCACCCCAGTGTTCATTGCAGCACTCTTTACAATAGCCAGGTCATGGAAGCAAGCCCATCAACAGACAAATGGACAAAGATGTGGTATATATATACAATGGAATATTACTCAGCCATAAAAAGGAATGAAATTAGGTCATTTGTAGAGATGTGGGTGGACCTAGAGACTGTCATACAGAGTGAAGTAAGTCAGAAAGAGAAAAACAAATATCGTATATTAACACATATATGTGGAATCTAGAAAAATGGTACAGATTAACCAGTTTGCAAGGCAGAAAGAGACACAGATGTAGAGAACAAACATATGGACACCAAGGGGGGAAAGTGGCAGGGTGGTGGTGGTGGGATGAATTGGGAGATTGGGATTGACATGTATACACTAATATGTATAAAATAGATAACCAATAAGAACCTGCTGCATAAAAAAAAAAATTTAAAAAAAAAAGAGGGCTTCCCTGGTGGCGCAGTGGTTAAGAATCCACCTGCCAAATGCACGGGACACGGGTTCGAGCCCTGGTCCGGGAAGATCCCACATGCCACAGAGCAGCTAAGCCCGTGTGCCACAACTACTAAGCCTGCGCTCTAGAGCCCATGAGCCACAACTGCTGAAGCCCGCGTGCCTAGAGGCCCTGCTCTGCAATAAGAGAAGCCACCACAACAAAAAGCCCGCGGACCGCAACAAAGAGTAGCCCCTGCTCTCAGCAACTACAGAAAACCCGCGTGCAGCAGGGAAGACCCAATGCAGCCAAAACTTAAATAAATGAATAAATAAATTTATTAAAAAAAAAAAAAAAGAATTGTGGCTAGGGAAGAAAAAAAGAATATTACTACTAAACACCATTTCCATTACACTTAATATCTTTAAAATTGTATAAGGATGATTTTCCTTAATTAAGTGAACTAATTCCCCATTCCAGAACTGTGAGGACACCAAAGGCTAACTGAGCTATCCGTTTACTTTCTTGGTTAGCCTCATTTTACCCCAAAGTGTTTCAGTGAGTCTGCAATATACAATCCTTACCACCTTTCTTTTGGCTTTTTTCTGAGCCTATTTCAAACAGGCACTCTGATGGCCCTGGTTTATAGTACCTCCCAGTACCTGAGGTTCTACTGACTACCCAAAGGCACACATCTGTCCCCTTAGCCACTCAGACACAAGCTCCACAGGGAGGTCATATCTGCACCATGCAACCAGTGGCTTGGCTTGAGGCGCTCAGGAATTACTTATTAAATGAATGAGTCCTCTATCATCAGACGGGATGGCCAATCACTGATACACCCTACTGACGGCTGACCAAGATCGTGCATGGCTGCCTGCTAGACTGTCAACTGACTTTTAATTCCAACAACCAATCTAAATTCTTATTTATGAAATGAAAAGAGAATGCTGTAACCTAGGCAATGCTTGGAGACTAGGAAAGACCTGTTAAGAAATTAGGTCCTTCGATAATCATATGTAATATTTATACTTAAGGTTAAGGAAAACCCAAAAGGTGCCTAAGCATTTATAAAAGATGTTTCATAAATCAAGGCTCCAAGGTACAAATCCTGTTACTTCCCAGCTGGCTCTGAGCCACTTCCCAAGCCCATAAAAATGAAAATATCTGAGTTATGTTCTGGAGGGTAGACCACAACAATGCTCTTCTGAGACCCAAGCAGTCCAGGAGATGGGCGGGGCACACTGAGAAAATCTAACTTGTTCTGGTCCAAAGTAATAGCTGACCAAATGGGCAACAGCTAAGGGAGCCAAGCCCAAGAACACTGGCTGTGAGGAATGCTGTGTCCAACAGTGAGCATTCGAGGTGGTGGGGCCACTTACAGTTCAACCCGGTGAAACTGAACATTCCAATCTGCTCCGTGATATGGTTCCAGGTTCCAGGGGTCTTGAGGGCTTCTAATCGTGCCCTGAGCTCAGATCTCATGGTCAGAATGCGGTCAGCCATTGTCTTCACATTACCTGTCCTGAGTGGACAGCAATATGAATACCAATCCACACAGGAGAGATGGTACACGAAAACAGAAACATTTTTTAAATGTAATTTAATCTGTAAGCTGAAAACGTGATCACAACCTGCCTATTATGGTATGTGGATGCCTGGGTGGGTGGATAAGGAGACCAGAGAGATAGACTTACTAGGCAGAAGGAAAGGACTTTATTTACTGATGGAGTTCATGGCTAGTCTTAGGTATACTGGCTGTAATACCACTTATGTTTTAACTCAGACTTCAGCTAGGTGCTGCTTGAGACAGGGTAATATATTTTATCAGGTGTAATTTTGCAGATTTAGCTACTAAAAAAAAATTAGTTTCAAAATAAGACAAAAAATATATAAATTAGATAAGAATGAAGAGCCCCAAAATTGCTGCACTAACTTGAAGTTAGATATTCTATTCTATCAGAAATTCCTCCCTGTATTTCCCAACTTTAAGGGGAGGAAGCCTGGGTGGTGGGAGAGTGGGGGAAACTCCCATTCACTGAGGGCCTCCTTCCTATGTTCCCAGTGCTCTGTTACACACGTGTGTTAAGTGTCAGCCCTATTTTACAGAAATAATAACTGACACTCAAAAGAGGTTCAAGTATTTTTGTCCTGCCTCTGCCAGCATAAAAGGAAGAGACAGTTAAATGTAATGGGACAATCGCTGTTCTGCATCCCCACGCTTTGCCCATCAGCGTTGAGCCCCTTACCATTCATTAAAAAGCTCAGGGTCAGAGAGGGTATGGGCCACGATTCGTGCTCCCTGAGCAGGGGGATTGGACCACGTAATTCGCACTATCTTCTCCATCTGGGAAAGGACCCGGAGGATGCTATCAGGTTCTTTCGCAACCACGGTCAGATTCCCCACTCGCTCATCTAAAAGGAAGGAGGAGAATCAGCCTTGGGGCTCCGGGGGCGGCGAGGCTGGGGCAGCTGGGCTGTAACTCATGAGAGCACTCACTGTAGAGCCCGAAGTTCTTGGAGAAGGACTGGGCACAGAAGAGCTCGAACCCTTCAGACACAAAATAGCGAATGGCCCAGGCGTCTTTTTCCAGGTTGCCAGATGCGAAGCCCTGATAGGCTGAGTCAAAGAAGGGGAACAGAAACCGGCGCTGCGAGGAAGGAAAGTGAGTCAGGGCAGGAACCAACCTCAGACACTGGACTTCCTTCCCCAACTGGTGCCTGGAAGGAATGTCTCACCCTGTCCGTTTCTCCTACCTCTTTCCTTTCTGCATCCAACTCCACTTTACATCTGTTTCTCTGTTCACCTAAATACCAACCAACAAATCTAACAACTTCGGTAAACCTTATTTTTTTAAGTATATTGTCCTAGAGTGTCACGATGCTGCTTTGCCAACAGGGCACATCTGATCATGTCACTCCATGACATCAAAAATTTCCAGGGGCTCCCCACTGCCCTCAGAATAAAGTCCAAGGCTTCAGCACAGGACCTGGCCCCCATTTACCTCTCTAGCCTCATCACTCACTCGCCCCCTCCCCTGGAACTCCAGCCCATACCAAGAATTACTTTTACTTCCTCATATGGACCATGACCTCTGCCTTGGGCTTTTGATGGTGCTCTTCCCTCCACAGGAAACATTCCTTCCCCGCCAGCCCTGACCCATCCTCATCCTTCAAGTCTAAACACGGAAACCACTTCTTCCAGGAAGGCTTCCTCTGCTACCACCAGCCCTCCCAAAATGCACGCACTCCCCAGAGTCTGGGCTATGTGCCTCCATAGGACCCCATCAACACAGCTGTCTCACAGTACGTGTCTGTCTCCCCAAACAGGCTGTATGCTCTGAGGGCGGGACCACCTCTGCTTTGTTCACCATTGTACCCCTATGGCACCTGGTACATAATAGTTTATCAAGAAGTATTCTTTAAACATGTTAATGAAGAATATATATACCTTGAGCTAGAAATTCCAGTGTAGAAAGTTATCCCAAAGAAATAATAAAAAGGAGGTTTAGGGGCTTCCCTGGTGGCTCAATGGTTGGGAGTCCACCTGCCGATGCAGGGGACACGGGTTCGTGCCCTGGTCCGAGAGGATCCCACATGTCGCAGAGCGGCTGGACCTGTGGGCCATGGCTGCTGGGCCTGCGTGTCCGGAGCCTGTGCTCCACAACGGGAAAGGCCACAACAGTGAGAGGCCCGTGTACCGCAAAAAAAAAGGAGGTTTATTACATATATTGTTCACAAGAGTAAGAAACCTGGGCACGAAATGGCCATCAACTGATTTAATCAATCTGTAATGTAACATAGCCATGCATGTCATGTATAACTACACTAAAAAAAAAATTTAAAAATTCTGTATATCAAAATGTTAACAGTGGCTTTCTTTGGGTAATAGGATTTATAGTTAGTACTTATTTTTTTCTTTGGGCTTTTCTCCCTTTTTCCAAATTCTTCTGTAAATAGGTACTGCTGTTGAATACATCAAATATTAATACACACTATTTTAAGAGATGCTCTGAAAAGACAGTTACCTTCATGACAGAGGCAATCTGCTTCCACTGCTCTGGAGTTGGGTCAGTTCCAGTCGGGTTGTGTGCACAGGCGTGGAGGACAAAGATGGAGAACTCGGGAGCTTTCTGGGGAGAAGGAAGCTATGTAAGTTCTGACACCAGCAGGGACATGGGGGGCAGAGTCAGGGGCACAGAGGGCAGGTACTCCCTCCTTACGTGCCATTTCAGAAACCACCATCCGGCTTGAGTAGGGTGTTTCAGACTCTCTCACTTATCAACTGATCCAAAGACTTTTCCCTGCTCTTGACGTCATAGCATTCTGTCTACTTTTGCTTCTAATAACCCACCTCCAGATCATTCAGAAAACCCTGGAGGTCTAGTCCTCTCTTCGCTGCATCCCAATAGTGATAAGACCGAATTTCTTTAAATCCAGCGGCAATGAAGACACCATTATGATTCTCTGCAAGCAAAGGGGTAAAATGTTAAATGTTTTACAAACACAAGGAGGCATGAACAGAAGGGACTCAAGGCAGCTTCCAGGGCCCTCACAGGCTCAACATCCACTTGGTGACATGGAGGTGAGGGGTTAAGATTGAGAGGAATGACTGTGACCAAGAACAAGTTTGACCAGTCTAGTCATGCTGACTTACATCCTACTACAGTGGGACCTCCCTCCTCTGGGAAGGCTCAATATACACTGAAACACAAGTTCACCAAGAGTCTTGGGGTAAAGTAGTCCCAATCTGAATTTAAGCATCAGGTTACCCATGTACTGCCATAATCCACTGCTCAAGCCATTCTCATGTTAGTTGATCCAGGGCTGGGTTACATTTTCAGTGTAAGCAGTGAGACTCATGAGGATAATTCCTTCCCTGCCAGCCCCGACCCATCCTCATCCTTCAAGTCTAAACATGGAAACCACTTCTTCCAGGAAGGCTTCCTCTGCTACCACCAGCCCTCCCAAGACACACACACTCCCCAAAGTCTGGGCTATGTGCCTCCATAGGACCCCATCAATACAGCTGTCTCACAGTACGTGAGAATTCCTCTGGCTTCTCTGTTTCTCCTCTCGCTACAGCTATAGGACTCACCCCAGGTTGGTGAGGATACATAGACGGGTGTGTCCTTGTTGTTTGTTCCATTGTACCATCGCGCTAAGAACTCAGCTCCAATTCGAAGTGCACCTGTTCCCCCCAAACACTGCACACCTCCTACCTGAAAGAGAAGAAGCAGGGTCACTGGTTATTTAATGGTGAGGTCAGATAATATTAGGGAAAATATGGTAATGATGAGCACTTCCTTAATGTGTTATCTCTATAAAATGTCATAACTACATGAAAAAATATTATTTGCCCATGTTTACAAATGAGGAAACTAAGGCTAAGAAGTGAAGCGCCTTGCTCAAAGTTACCAGCTACTCAGCAGAAAGGTCAGGTCTTCACCCAGGAAGTCTGACTCCCAAAGGAGTGTCCCTCTGAACACAGAGGTGGAGGACATACCTAGGCCCTAGGACATACCTCAGGCACATTAGAGTGTGTCCTGCAAAGCAAACCCATCCCTTTGCACCCATCCCAAGATCAAAACTGCCCCCCCAACAGAAGCCAGTAAAATAATGTTCCGAGCTTGCTATCATCAGTCTGCCGTGCTCCTTCTCATCGCTATAACAAAGGCTTATTAATCCTCAGAAATGTTCTCACAGAACAAAGGCGATAAGCAAATACCACTCTCCTCTCCTGAAGCTTCCTCTTATCTTAAAATGGCCTCACCTGGGCAATAATAAAAGTCCTACGTTTTACCGTTAAAAATACCTTCACACACATTCTTGTCTGACCCTCACACAGCCCTGTAAAGTAAGTTCTAGATCCCCAATTTATACATGAGGAAATTGATTCAGAGAAGTGGTTCGCCAAGCGATTCGCAGCAGAGAAGGGCACAAATCCAGGCCTTCTCACACTACATCTAGTCACTAGGCCCTACTTCTGTTGTTCTGCCTAAACATCTTTGCCTTTGCCCCTTCACACTTCTAATTAGGTTTTAGCATAACTCTTTCAGTAGAGAAATGTCATTAATTACGTGTTGCTTAATATGTCTAAAGGAGAAAGAAAAAGATCACACAAGAATGTCTACTGAAAAGGAAGGACACACACCAATGTAATAACAGAAGCAACCTCTGGGGAGGGGCCTAGGATGTGGGAATAGTGGTCAAAGGGACTTTGGCCTAATCTACAAGTTGTTTTTTTAAAAAATAAGGAGAATGTATTCATGTATTATTTGGAAATTTTTTTAATAATTTAAAAAATATATTTAGATGTCTGTAATTTGCTATAAAATAATTCAGTTTTGGCAGGGAGGGTGGGGGAATATACAAGACTGACCAAATACAGATCATTGCTGAAGCTAGCTGATGGATCCATGGGGGTTTGTTCATTACAGTTTTAACTACTTTTGTGTATATTTGAAATTTCCTACAATAAAAAAGTAAAAAAAAAAAAAAAAAAAAAAT